AAAACATTCATTATGCATAAACATTCATTATGCATAAAATCATTATGCATCATTATGTATGCATAAAACATTCATTATCATAAAACATCATTATGCATAAAACATTCATTATGCATAAACCATATCATTATGCATAAAACATTCATTATGCATAAAACATTCATTATGCATAAAACATTCATTATACATAAAACATTCATTATGCATACAACATTCTTTATGCATACGACTGTTGTCATATTAATTTTACATAATTGCAATTTATCATACCGACCACATTGTGCATTAACTCATAAATATTGTATATTTCATTCCAAATGTACCTCATTATTTATTACTTATACACATCATACATGTGATACATATCAGATATCACATCATACTTATTGCAGGTTTCGCTATACATGCAGTCCGTTTCATTCATTATGCATACAACATTCATTATACATGCAATATCCATTATACATACATTTACTATGTATACAACATTCATTATGCATACTTCATTCTACTTACGACTGTTGTCACATTCATTTCATATAATTGCATTTATTATATCTACCACATTGTGTATTTCCTTATAAATATTGTGCATTATACATATTAGATATTACATCATACTTATTGCATGTTTCACTATACATTACTTTTCAATACCTATACAACATATTTCGTCATACATATATTGTAATTCAGTATACAGCATATCTTTTGTGTAGAATGAATAGGATATCGTTTGCATATAGAAATTATAAGATTTTTTCAAAAATAATTGCTTACTTTTGTAAGACAAACTTGCGAACATATTGTTAGGATGAGGTATTAGTCCATGTTGAAATACCCTTGTTCCCGGTGACTTTGGGATGAAATTAGCTCTAGCTATAGATCTCACCTGGATGACCAAGTTCCCCTGCCACAAATTGGTATAAAAAGCGCCACCGCCGTTACCGAGCATAGTTCATCATTGAAACAGCTTGCCATAACAATCAGTATGAGTTTCAACATGAGACTTTGGTTCTCTGGACGGCCCTCTCTTTGCTTGCAACTTGCGAAGGACTTGAGCCAGACTTACCTGTGAAGGCGTGTCAAGAGGATTCTCGTCTGTCTCTGACGTACTCGACTGCAGGTCAGCACCGTCGTCTCCACCGTCACTCTCCTGGATGTTGTACCGACCTCTGTCAGCGTTACCACTACGGACTGTGTGCCTTACGTTATCACTCACACGGAAACGGTAACCCAGTACCAGGCGCCACTGGCTTCCTCCACACACTACGTCCCCAATCAAGATCAGAGAGAATCGGGCATACACCTATACCAGCTATCAACAACAAACCATCAGCATTACATACTCGGCTACCGGTCTTGAAGAGCACGTGACACAGGTTGTGGGGACAACTACTGCCACGGCTGTATCGACGGCATCTGTTGTGAAGACTGTGACCGCCTCCACTACAGCCACTCAAACATACACTCAAGTTGACGTGTTCACTTCCTTCACATACTTACCAGTGTATTTAACGACGACCATGACTAACGCCTGGCCAATCCTCAAGACGGTTTACCAGACAGAGTACGTTAAAGAAGCAGTTGATTATGTGACAACGGTTATTGAGACATCGACAGTTATGACTGTCAAGACGCCGTAATTATGATGCAGACGATTCAATTATCGACGTATATGACTGCAAGACGCTAATGGTTATTAATGGAGAAATATCAATAAATGTTGAGTTCATTCATAAATAATTTCAATTCCCCAAAGAAAATGGTTACACTAGCTATGATGATCAATGATTAAGGAAGAAAGAGAAAAAGTTCCATCATTTATACTGCGCGTTTCTGTATAAATACGCTTCATTACATTATCTACATACGGCACACCTTTCATAAATAGTTTTAACATATTGCACATTCACTGTACGTAGCAACTGTTCCTTATACATACACGACTTTTTGTCACTTTCCTCTTTATATAATTTTTATATATGCGATTTATTATACTTACCACATTGCGTATTTCCTTTTAAATTATAGCACATTGTTGTATACAACAGCAATCCGTTATACATACAACATCCATTATGCATACAACATTTATTATGCATACAACATTCACTATACATACAGCATTCATTATGTATACAACATTCTTTATGCATACAACATTATTATGCATACAACATTCATTATGCATCAGCATCATTAGCATTTTTTATTTATTGCATACATTTATTACGCATACATTTATTACGCATCACGCATACATTTATTACGCATACATTTATTACGCATACATTTATTACGCATTACATTTATTACGCATACATTTATTACGCATACATTTATTACGCACATTTATTTTATTACGCATACATTTATTACGCATACATTTATACGCATACATTTATTACGCATACATTTATTACGATACATTTATTACATTTTATTACGCATACATTTATTACGCATACATTTATTACGCATACATTTATTACGCATACATTTATTACGCATACATTTATTACGCATACATTTTTACATTTATTACGCATACATTTATTACGCATACATACGCATACATTTATTACGCATTACATTTATTACGCATACATTACGTTATTACGCATACATTTATTACGCATACATTTATTACGCATACATTTATTACGCATACATTTATTACGCATACATTTTATTACGCATACATTTATTACGCATACATTATTACGCATACATTTATTACGCATACATTTATTACGCATACATTACGCATTACATTTATTACGCATACATTTATTACGCATACATTTATTACGCATACATTTTATTACGCATACATTTATTACGCATACTTTATTACGCATACATTTATTACGCATACATTTATTACGCATACATTTATTACGCATACATTTATTTACGCATACATTTATTACGCATACATTTATTACGCATACATTTATTACGCATACATTTATTACGCATACATTTATTACGCATACATTTATTACGCATACATTTATTACGCATACATTTATTACGCATACATTTATTTACGCATACATTTATTACGCATACATTTATTACGCATACATTTATTACGCATACATTTATTACGCATACATTTATTACGCATACATTTATTACGCATTTATTACGCATACATTTATTACGCATTACATTTATTACGCATACATTTATTACGCATACATTTACAATACGCATACTTATTACGCATAATTATGCATACATTTATTATGCATACAAACTTATTATTTACAACATTTATTATAATACAACATTTATTATACATACAACATTTATTATAAATACAACACAACATTTATTATAAATTACAACATTTATTATAAATACAACACATTTATTATAAATACAACATATAAATACAACAATACAACATTTATTAAAATACAACATTTATTATAAACAACATTTATTATTACAACATTATTATGCATACAACAATAACATTTATTATAAATACAACATATATGCATACAACATAAATACAACATATTATGCATTATAAATACAACATTATTATAAATACATTATAAATACAACATTTATTATAAATACAACATTATTATAAATACAACATTTATTATATACAACATTTAAATACAACATTTATTATAAATACAACATTTATTGTATTTATGAATGCATACAACATTTTATTATATAAACATTTATTACACACATTTATTATATGCAATACAACATTTATTATGCATACAACATTTATTATGCATACAACATCCATTATGCATACAACATTTTTATTATGCATACAACATTTATTATGCATACAACATTTATTATGCATACAACATTTATTATTACAACATATTAACATTTATTATATACAACATTTTATATACAAACATTTATTAAACAACATTTAATACAACATTTAAATACAACATTTATTATATACAACATTATTATATACAACATATTATATAAATACAACATTTTATTATAAATACAACATTTATATATAAATACAACATTTATTATAAATACAACATTTATTAAATAAATACAACATTTATTATAAATACAACATTTATTATAAATACAACATTTATTTATAAATACAACATTTTTATTATAAATACAACATTTATTATAAATACAACATTTATTATAAATACAACATTTAAATTTACAACATTTATTATAAATACAACATTTATTATAAATACAACATTTATTATAAATACAACATTTATTATAAATACATTCATTATGCATACAACATTCTTTAAGCATACATTCTTTTATGCATACTATATTTCTTTATGCATTCATTATGCATACAACATTTATTATGCATAAAACATTCATTATGCATACGACTGTTGTCACATTAATTTTACATAATTGCAATTTATTATACCTACCACATTGTGTATTTCCTTATAAATATTGTATATTTCATTACATAACAAATACCTCATTATACATGTCAGATATTATATCATACTTATTGCATGTTTCACTATACATGCAGTACTTTTCAATACCTATACAACATATTTCGTCATACATATATTGTAATTCAGTATACAGCATATCTTTGTGTATAGAATGAATATGATATCGTTTGCATATAGAAATTATAAGATTTTTTAAAAATAATTTCTTTTGTAAGACAAACTTGCGAACATATTGTTAGGATGAGGTATTAGTCCATGTTGAAATACCCTTGTTCCCGGTGACTTTGGGATGTAATTAGCTCTAGCTATAGATCTCACTTGAATGACCAAGTTCCCGGGCCGTAAATTGGTATAAAAAGTTGTCACGCCATTACCGAGCATAGTTCATCATTGAAACAGCTTGCCACTCAAACATACACTCAAGTTGACGTGTTCACTTCCTTCACATACTTACCAGTGTATTTAACGACGACCATGACTAACGCCTGGCCAATCCTCAAGACGGTTTACCAGACAGAGTACGTTAAAGAAGCA